AAAAACATAAACATGAGAGTTAAAAAGAAAAACTAATCTAAAAAAGTTTTAAAGAAATAGGTCTTAATGTTCTTCTTGAATGTAGTGTAGCAGGTTGTCTGTCTGAGACAAAATTGAATGTTTGTACATTTCTTTAATTACAGCATACAGTGCTGGAACGTTTTGTACTGATTCTGGAGTCCAAGAACGATGAGCCAACTCCTGTAGCTCTAAGACCAGTGCTACAGAGACTGTGTGCTTTATATGGACTTTGGAGTCTAGAGAAACATCTAGCCACACTCTATCAAGGTCAATGTATACTAAATCTTTTGTTATTATCAGTGAACTGTATTTTAAATCAACTCTTAAGAATTCCCTCAAGGAATGTGGAATTGAGACGCATGACTGGAAAATACTAACCAAAGATGCCTCTCATGGCACAGAGTCGTGAGTGTCAGTGTTTCAGGTAATGAGGCCAAAAGACGACAAAGAAAAAAGACTAGCCGAAAATGTAGGGCAAAAGCAGACAATACTGCAATAGAACCAACCTCCCCATGTCTTGAGTGTGATCAGCTTTTCAAAGCAAAGATTGGACTTCACAGCCATCTTGATGGAAACTATTGTGGTCATGAAAAAGCTTTTCTATGTTAATTCACCTAAGCATAAAAAGTAAATGTACTTCTTCTAGACCTTGCAGTCTATCAGAGAAAATGATGTAAAGCTTATCTGTAACTGGCTGATGATTATGTAGTCAGCACAACGCTCCATCCCCTTTACTTCCCCAGTGTCTTTTAGTTAACCATCAGAGCTGAGTGGATTTATGGTCTTCCTAAAAACCTGAAATTCAAATCCCAATCTTCACTGGAAATCGAACTCGAGACTCCACAATTCCAAAATTAAACACTTTATCCCTCAGCTACCTGCCTCTAATCTTCTTATCTTCTTCTTATTATTAATCTTATTAGGGTTAGTGGCTTAAGTGAATGATTACTATGCTATTTTATTTAGCCTTGTATGTAGGAATGTTATTCATGTACCTTAAAGAAAAAAAATGTACATAGATTTAATCAGGTAAAATTTGTTGTGTTTATGTTGTTGTAATGTTTGTTCACCAGGTGGCTATGTGTCTGGCGGTGATTCCCCAAGACTGATCAGAGAGACAATCCTCCAGCTGTGCACACTGCTGAAGCCTGATGCAGTTTCCCTGGTGGATGCTATTGCCCCTCCAGACTTTATACTCAATTCACCCATTGGGTGCTCTGATGGCCAGGTATTTAATTTTTATAGTCTGTGAAACAAATGAATTTAAACTAGCTCCTTATTGTGGTCATACTTGGAGGCTGTATCTTAGCTTTGATCAAACATGCCTCTGTGTTCTGAGCTTCTTAGTGTGATCATACTTGGAGGCTGTATCTTTGCTTTGATCATATATGCCTCTGTGTTCTGAGCTTGTCTTTTGATATGTTTGCCAAATAACAGCCGACCATAGGGATGTCACCTTCATCTGGGTCCCCTCCCATGTTGGCATTGAGGGAAACGAAGCCGCAGACAGAGAAGCAAAGAGAGCCCTAAATCATGCGGTGTCAGGCACCCAAATTCCCTGCTCGGACCTGAGACAAAGTATTGCCTCTGCCACCTATCAAGAGTGGCAGAACCGATTGGAGGCTGAGACTCACAATAAACTCAGGCAGATTGTGGGGGATGTCAGGTGGCAGCCCATATCTAAGGGTCTGACAAGGCGTGGTAGCACAATCATGTCCGGACTTAAGATTGGCCACACGTACATCACGCACTCTTTTGTGCTGAAGATTTTTACCAAATTATTAAATTTTTACTAGCTTTACTATTTTAACTGTGAATAGACCTTGATTTTAATGATTTAACTTATAGAATTTACCCCTTGTTATGTAGAGAGAGAGAGTAGTCCTTAAGGGAATGCAGGCACGACATGGCCTAAAATTGTGCCGATGTGCCTAAAACCAAAACCAAACCTTTGATATGTTTGTTTTTATGGCACAAAGAACTCATTTAAACTTTGTGATGCTGTCAGCAGTCTCCATGGTTCTGTTTATCTTACCTTAACATCGATCTTTCACTGATGAAGACTAGTTTTAGACTTGTAATTGCGTGTCATTATTATTTATTTATCTTTTAAAATGACTACTGCGTAGTCTGCTGTCAGGGCACTTAAAAACTGATAGGGTGATGCCAGCATATATAGAATTAATTTGAGGTTGATCATGATGAATCTTTCTATTGTATTTGTAAACTAATTTCTTGCTGGAAGTTGAACAAAGTAAAATGTAAATTTGACTGCTTATTTATTAAGGTTTAAAACCTAGATTTATAGGCCATTATTTTCTGTTCCAAATTTTTTTTTCTCTCTCTTCCTGATTTTATTGGTGAACTTTATAAAAGCTTATTCAGTTAAGGGACTTTCAAGGTCTATAAATAATTGCTAGAAGTTCAACTGATCATAGATCATAGTTTTCTAGGTATGGTTGCTAAATATTGCTGCAGTCTAAAATAACTGCCAAGATCTTTTACTATGTTTTGTATTCCAAATCTGGGTATACGAAATGAAATATGCCCAAAAAGAAGGGGAGGGGTACTTTTAGTCAGTTCCACCTTTGCTAATGGGTGCAATCATCGAAAGAGTTTTAGAATTATTTTAAATATTGTTAAACTTGTTATTGAAAATAATTTGGTACAAAACTAGTCACATAAAATGTATTAATGTATAAAATAATTCTTTTCAGATTTATAAAAACTTGTATAGCGCCATGCTCCAGGGCAGTAAGAGTCTGGAGAGAGCTGAGTATTGGCAGGAAGCTATCACCCCACCACCACCCAGGACACCAGCCAAACTTTAGACTTAGTTATCACCTAGATTCTGAACTCTAGTTTCAACTTGAACTTTTCACCTGAAACAGGGGATATATATATATATATGTAATGCTTTATGTTGTCATGAACTATATATGTTGTGCAATAAACCAAGAGTAATGTAAATAAAGGATAGAATAAATAGTAAAGAATAAATTGGAAGACAAAAGTAAAGGATAATTTGGAAGACATGTAAAGAATAAATTGGAAAACAAAAGTAAAGAATAATTTGGAAGACAAATGTAAAGAATAAATTGGAAGACATGTAAAGAATAATTTGGAAGACAAAAAGTAAAGAATTAATTGGAAGACTAATGTAAAGAATTAATTGGAAGACAAATGTAAAGAATAAATTGGAAGACAAAAGTAAAGAATAATTTGAAAGACATGTAAAGAATAAATTGGAAGACAAAAGTAAAGAATAATTTGGAAGACATGTAAAGAATACATTGGAAGACAAAAGTAAAGAATAATTTGGAAGACATGTAAAGAATAATTTGGAAGACAAAAAGTAAAGAATAATTTGGAAGACAAAAAGTAAAAAATAAATTGGAAGACAAATGTAAAGAATAAACTGGATGAAAAACTGATTTAATTTGTTTAAACAAATATTTTTATCTTGATACTTGTGCTTTTGTGAAAAGAGAAAATAATTTATTAGAGTTTTCTTTGTGAATGTGCTTGCATTGTAGGAAACTATTCTAAACAGATTTTGAACTGGAGGTTGGGATACATTATTTTCTGAGCATTCCCTAGTGCCATATATTTATTGTATTGACATGTTAAGAGGGAATGAGTCAAAGAGAGATTATTAATGTTTGCCTTCTTGTATTTCTACAACACTTTTGTCTGGACATTCCAAATTGTATTGTTTGTGTCAGACGTCAGTGCAAAGTGATACCTAATGTTCTAAGAACAAAATTTTGACCGATGGTGAGTGACAATGTTTCCAGACAAAACTTACATGATAGATTTTTTTTTGTTTTTTGTTTTCTCTTGTTATGCTTTTGTTGATTTCTGAAGGTGATTTTCATGACCTTGAAGATTTTTACAAATCTCCATTCTCAAAATTTTGCTTAATGAGCTTCCATCATAATCAACCTTTTGACAAACTATTTCACTTGAAGTCATTCCAAAATGTCATTTGTTATATTTAATTCTTTTGGTTCATAAATTGCGTGATAGATAGGCAAAGAAACAGGTGACCTTAACATCATCTGCCCTATAGATGGCATGGTCTGAAAGGGAACTAACTTTACTTGCTTGCCTACTGTGGGGCTCAATCCAAGACACTAAATGTCCATCAAGTTACTATCTTATTTTTAGCTTCAATAGTCTCCCTCTCTTCAGGGTCTGCTCAAACATTTTCAACTTGTCTCTTACCTTCAATACTACACGCTGTCTTTTCATAGTTTTGCTCAAACATTTTCAACTTTGGGATTGAGATTTGAGAGAAATGGACTATTCATACTGTCCTGCACTTTTTGTATTTGCAAATCTTTTTAGATGGTTTGCCACAAGTCTCTCTGAATTTTCTTTCCATCGTTACTAAAATTTTCTTCCCAACTCTGCTGTTGAAGTCTATGAATCGAAAGTGTATTTCATTATGTGCTGTTGTACTGGAGATGAGAGACTCTGTGACTCATAGAAATCTAATCTTATCTAATGTTTTATTTCATTGATATGTATTTTGAGCTTGCTTTTAATGTTTTTGAATGTAGTATCAACTGAGATTATCATGCCATGCTCTTGTGATATATGCTTTGAACTTTTGTTACAATGGCTCTGAGTTGAAATCCTGATAGCTTCCATCCCTGGTCGTCCTGTAGACGATTTAGACCAGGGCGTAGTAATCTTCATTTCTGAGGTAATTTGAATGTTATAAAACAAACTCTGACCTATATCTTTTTTTTCTTGTGTATGCAATGACTTAATATTTAAATTTTATTTCTTACATAATGAGACAATATTCTGTCACTATTCTTGGTTATTTTATATATACGAAATAGGTTGTTTAAATGTGGCTAGGTTACAAGAGAAATGGAAGCAGAAGTCTTTCTCTTCAGTTTAAGGTCACTCATGGCCGACGGCCGCATGTCATGGTCATAGTCGCTGAACATCGTCCCCCCCCCCCCCCCTCCTTGTCCACTTATGTCTATTTGAGATTATTATCTCCCTTACTTTACAGGTTTTATATTGCAACTGTCAGCCATCTGTTTTTCCAATTCCATTTGTCATCATCTCCTCATTGTACTCAAAGGCATGGTTGATGTAGTTGGAACTTATTGATATTCTATTGACTCTGTTTCTTAAAAAGAACATATCATACACAGTATTTGGAATTGTACTTAAATGTACATTTTGTTTGATGCTTTTGATATTTTCCCCAATAGTCATGTGAAAACATCAGAACCAGGAATATTAGCAGTATTTCCTTGTTTATCAAAGTATTGAAAGAAATAAAGCTTAGAATTTACTGAAACATTTTTTTGTTGTTGTTGCTGTTGTGATGAATATTTGTAATAGAACAAAGAATTTATGCAAAGAAAGATCACCAAATTATAAACATAAAAATTTCAGTCTGGTACACACGACTCTTATTTCTCTTACATCCAAAAGTAAAAAATATAAAAAATTGCAGTGATGATTAAAATGTATGCGACATACATACTAAAGGAGGTTCAATGTGGGAAGCGGACCTCGGAGTAATTTATCCCCTCCTATCAGTGAATCTCATTTCCTTGAGCTGAGGCAGCAAAACATAAATGCTCATACTTTGAATTCCATTTTAGTCTCTTTTTTTTTTTTCTACACGTATATAATGATACAGAAACCACATTCTGGGAACCACTGCACTACCTTTTCCCAGAATTTTTTTATTATCTTTTTTTTTCCCCAGAAGATTCTGTGGTTTATGGAGACGTCCTTGACTGGATCATAAACTATTTTGAAATCATCAGGATACTCATATGGCTTGAACGTGATTTTCGGCGCTGGCCAGAGATGAGCATGTCACTTCTGCTAATAACAGTCTAATAGAGTAAGGGCCCTTGCGGACTCTTTCGTCTCCGCTAATAAAAATGGAAAAAAAAATCGACCTAAGCCAAGACAGGAATATTCCTATCGACAACTTGAAAGATGAGCTTTATTTACAGTACCTACCTCTCAACCGCTGCTCTTTTTTTTTTTTTTAATTTTATTTTGCTAATTCAAGCTTCGTTTTTTTTCACAAATATTAAAATATATCTCTCCTGGATTAGGCTTGCTATATTATATTTCTTAATATTCGATTTTGACCCGTTTTGATGAATGATCCACTGATCCATATTGTTATGTAGATACAATTTTTAAGTATATTATTGACCAAATCTTAATTATTTGAAAAGTATTTAATTACTCGAATAAGAGCCATTTCACTAATAGAATCTAGATCTACAAGTTATGAGCGAAAACTTTAACTCTCTCTTTCCAAACCGACGATACCAGCGTTGATTCCACCAGAATGTGGTAAATAATTACGGAGAGAAAGAGTTAAAAAATAAACATTTCCTAATGATTTTTTTCTTAAACTTACGTTGAGAGTTTAAAAAAAATTAGCAAAAAAAAATAATAAATAAATTTAAACTTTGAAATTAGTGGTTTCTTTTTTTTTTTTCCCTTTGAGTCGCCTCATCTATCTCATTGTATCTCGTCTGCCCCTTGAATTTCGTCGTGACACTTCGCGTAACCAGATCCCGCCACTTTTCCCGGACACCAACTGTTTTAAGCAGGAAATCAAGAGGCTCGAAGAGAGAGGCCTGTCCATTTGACTTTGTCCAGCCGAGACCATGGAGACCATGCGTCACAGAAGGCTTCAACACTGACCTGCGGGCAGTGGAGACCAATAGCTCGTTGCCACGTCTTTCAGACCTGTGTCGGCCTTCTAGGACAAGATTTCTCTGTCCAGCCCCAGCTTTTCTTAACGCACCTTCCACTGTACCTTGAAGGATGACTTTTGACCGTGAGTCATGTCTTAAACTATGACTAAACCAGGTCAGCTGGTTTCTGAGAGAAAGAAAGAGAGAGACGGGGAAGACATTTCTTTGTCTGAAAATGTTTTTATAGGTTTCTTATATTTTTATAGTGGATCGATTCGCTTTGACTTCATATCTCAACATGTATATTATTGACCAAATATTAGCTCTACTATACACAAAAGCGAAACAAACAACAATGCTGGCCTCTGTCCGAGCCTCCTTCCTTTTTGTTAAAGCATAAAGTTTGTCCAAGACACGAGTCTACGTTCTGATCATTGCCCCAAACAATAAGTCTCTCTGACAGAGTATTGCCCCCTTTTAAAAAATTAGACCCTTCCACTGTCTGTACATCCTCCCTGACATATATTTGTGACACGAATGTTTTCTGGCTCTTCCGCAATTATTTGTTTCAGTTATTTATTAGCATTTATCCGAAAATACTCGAAGTTATTTTTTATGTTGTGATTAATTTCTATTGTATTTCCCCCAGAATATTCTTGGCAACCAAAAGTCGGACCAACGAAACGCTCATTCATGCCGCCATTTTGTTGTAAGACAGACGATTGTTGACCTAGTTACAAGTCATGACTCATAGCTTCGAGTCCCATTCATGAGGCATGCCGTCTGCTGACAAAGTAATTCCACATTGACTAATCATTTCCAAAGGGTAGTGAAGTTTAAAAAAAACAAAAAAAAGGAAAGACCCCTTTAAGATTATGTATGGGGGTAAATTATAAAACTTCACTCATTTCTGGTAAATGTTTAACGAGAGTGTCATAAGTTGGGTTGAAATCAACAGTTATAGACGTTGGAAGTGTACACCAATAGCTGGCTGCCACGTCACAGGTCTGTACAGTGGCGTAGCATCCATGGCGCGAAGGGGCTCAATGAGCCCGGGCCCACGAACATTAGGGACCCAAAGTCTGTGACTTACCAACCATGGCAATTTTGGCTTTAATTGCGTTTGGGCGCATGGCTATTGACCGATTGGGGCCCACATGAACCGAATTAAAACTACTTGCATTTGAATGTCTTTTGGTAAATATTCAGACTTCTGATTTTTTTTTTGCCACACATTAAATTTGTCTGGGGGGGGGGGGGGGGAGTCCTCCAAAATTTCCTTGAACCCGGGCCCTCGGGTACCTTGCTACGCTACTGGGTCTGAAGGACCTTATTGTATCCACAACTGAGGCGCGGTTACTTAGTTCGGGTCCCTGGCTCGAATCCTGATGAAGACTGTGATTTTTAATTTCACCCGACCAATACACTAACTACTGGAAGCCAATACGAGGAAAGCGCAAACAGGGGCATCCTAGTATAACTTGGCACCACACCTACACGGAGGACCTCAGAACAGTGGAGGTGGGAGGAGGCTAACCAGCTCTAATGGGTTATTGGCGTTAGCTGGAGAAAAGTAAAGGAGGTCGGTCGTTGTGCTGGCCACATGACCCCTTCGTTAATCGTAAGCCACAGAAACATCTGCTCTAAAGATCGTAAGGTCTGAAAGATGAACTTTATCTAAAAATAGAAAAATAGTCCGAGGTCAAAGCAGGCCGAATTGATGAGAGAGGGAGACAAGTTACCATGTCAGAATACAGAACTAAAGAGATCTATTTCCTACAACTTCCATCCAAAGTCTAAGACCAAACGTGACGCATGCTCAGAACGAATACAACAACAACACACGAAAAAGTCCGACCACGTGACCATGTACAGGACGTGACGACACAATGTAGCAGCAGATACAAATAATGTGGGCGGATGCATTTGATACTTCCCAAAACCTTCGGAGAAAACTGATTTTCTTGTTGTTTTTTTTCTTCTTAAAAATACACGAGCAGACTGTAGGGCCATGTAAAGCTGTTCTTTATTGACGTCATCACAAAATGCGTTCTCCGTTGTTTGTGCCTGGATATTGAGTCTAAGGCGAACAAAAATAACATTGTTAACTAGCTTTTAGTTAATGTCAACAGTGCTATCAATTGTATGTAGCACCAACTAATGTCTTGTGCCAAAATATATATTAACAAACATGTAGTAGAGTGCTGTGTGCTTTGGTCTGTCGACAAGAGTTCGAGCCTTCCACCCTGCTTGAAAATTAAATAACAACAAACAAGCAAAAATAAAACAAAAATCTTTAAAAAAAAACAACACAAAGATTATATGAGGGGAAGAATTGCAAAATCACAGCCATATATCTCAATACTGCAGGAATAAGCTCCTTTTAGTGTTTTGTTATTGATTTTTTTAATAGTAATCGACCATGAATAATCATGCCGAATTTCCATTAATCCGAGAATGGAAAGTGGAAGAAAATAAAACGTGTACAAAAAGTAATAAGGGGAATAACTCCACGAATAGATCCACATCTCTCAATTAGTAGCATTTATAACCTTTTTTCTATACCAAACAAAATAGATAATTAATTACCAATAATTCATTAACTAATTGTACCCCCAACAATTGTGTAAAGTTTCATCTTGATCCGAGAATGGTTTTGGGAGACAAGACAGAGTGAGTGGATAAACGCTTTGTAAAAGCGACATCTGAACATAGGCCTATGGTAAAGTAAATTACAAAAACATTACCACTGACACTAATATCAAGTTGGCACACTGAGATGTGTGTCTTCTTCGGATGACGTAGCCTAGTGTGTCGAAACGATCCAGGCGACTATACTGATAGGCTATTGTAGCACAGTTTACAGAATTTTTTTGACACGCCCCGATGTGGTCGTAGCTGGACATCACTGACATAGATCAACGTAATTCTTTTCATGCTTGCTCTCTCTTACCTTTATAACACCTATTAGCAGGGCCGGCCTTACTAACTGCGGAAACCAATTTAATGCTTGCTTGCGAGGCCCCCTTCTTCAATTTTGTTTTTTCAATAACAACTATTAAAATTAATTAGATCATTGTACCAACATTTGTTATACCACATGCATAGGAGGCAACTCAAATGCAATAGGTGCCTGTGGGTGAATTAAAGTTTACGTCAATCGTACGATATTACGACATTAAATATGTTAACCCTTTAAGTCTTACATCTTTCATAGCCAGTGACAAGAGCCATATGCTTAATGTAAATTGCGGGGCCCAATTGGAGCAATCGGTCAAATAGGCCTATGGCTGGCCCTGCCTATTAAGTTAGTCTTGACTACAAGCTGAAACGTATCGTAGAGCTTCAAACTCATCATCAAACCATTCTTCGCTGCAAACTGTCGTTTCGATGGTAATGATGGACCCAGGTTCGAATCCTGCGGGGAATTTTGGCTAAGGTGTAACTACCTTCAGATCTGAAGGTACAACCAAAACGTGCGAAACAAACGCGTCTAGCTCTAAATGATCCGAGAATTTTGTTTTTTTATTTTCTATGTTGATAAATTTATATTTAAATAGACATTACAAGTGCACATGTAGGCCCTATTTAAAAAAAAAAAAACTAGTGGAAAAAAATGTTTTCT